GAATTACCAAATTATCTGTACAAATGAGAAATATTGAAGTTTTATTTACATCGTGAAATTTTACGAATTTTCATTGCGTAAAAATGCTTGTCACGGGGCTTACATCTAGACTGCAATTCTTGGAGTTCTTGCTGCAGTAAGTTGATGTCAAGAGATACGACGGCGTTTTGAATACTGGTCATAACGCTAACAGATGTTGAAATAGGGTTAACTTACGCATAATGTCCTTGATTTTACTGCAGAGAAAACACTAACGGACAGAAAAGCCGCAAAATTATGTTCCATTCTTATCTATTCTCAATGGATTATCCCTTCTACGATGGACATTTAAATAACCACACAACTGTTCATTTTTCTCTATCACGAGAACTACTCCCGCCAGCAGTTTGCGTGGAGGGAGTTACTATGGTAACATGCGCTATACATTTCAGGTAAAGTGAGAAAGGCGAAAATTTGACAACTTGTTGCCGAATATTGGTCGCGGGAAAGACAAAACAGTGGTATTACAAGTGCTTCACTTAAAAATCAAAAATTAAAAAGCTAATTTCGTCTGATCGTCAATATGTACATCAAAATGGCAAGCTTTAATAATTTTTTCAAAACACCCCTACGAAATATGGGTTAAGGCTCGTTTCTACGGCAACAGGCAGCTGTAGATACTTTGTAGGGTGTGTGATTTTGGGTAGACATATAGTAAACCTTTCTTGATCTACAAATTAAAATTAATAGAAAAGTTTCAATTCATATTAAATTAAAGTAAAATTCATTAATTAAAGTGCAAGAGTAAAACCTAAGTTACAGTTTAAACTAACTCAATTTTTAATAATTATAAACAAATCTTAACATCTAAATCTTTCTAGATTGAAACTAAACATTAGTTAAATTTACAACACGCATAATCTATTGATAATAATGACAAACAAACACTTAAAACCTCGATTTCTTAGAGTTATTTTAAATACCAGTTTTCAGTTAATTTCAGTCTTAAATTAATTATCAGTCTTCATCTTATTAATTAATGCAATCTCAACTAATTAAGTCACAGACAGATGATTGTATATTAATTATTCAAAGCAGCTGATCTAAATTTCTTTCAACATAGAATTAGCAATTCTTGACCCAATCAACTGCAAAGGAATTGGTTGTCATTAATTAATGATTAAATTTTAAGTAGCTAAACCAATCAATTAATTCAATACTCAATTTTCATTTCTTCTAATTTTTTTGTCAACTCTCATATGTATACAATTGCAGTTTTAGTATGAGCTTTAGTATAGGAATGAGCTATAAACGTCATGAATTATGACTATCAAGTCGAAACGAGCGTCGTGGGTCCATTCCCAATTAACCAGAGACTGATTAACCCGGCTGAAAATTAATTACACCTTATCTTTAAAAAAATGTTTAGAAACTAATATTACATTTTTTTACTGAGGAGCGGTGGTAAGATTACCATCACAAATCAGAATAATGCAAGATTTTACGGGAAATACAAAAAGAAATGCATGGAATAAGAAATGCGTGGGAGAAGAAAATGTGTGTGATAAGAGTAGTATTAGTAGATAATGTTATATTATTTCAGCATTGTTTCTATTCACAACAGCACGCAGTTTAATTATACATAATCTGGATTATATCAACATCGATAAATCATCCATTAAAAATAAATTGCTGAATCGTAAATCTAAATTAAGTATACAGCCTTTAATCTCCTTCCCATTCACTTCTGTCGGAATAAAGGAGTTAATAAATAACAAAAAAGAATTATTTTTGTTTTGAAATACTACATTCGTATTTGAATGTTGATTTAATTTTGATTAATGTTCAGCGCTCTCGTCAGAACTCGGAACCTCGACCCATCAAATATGCGTCGAGTGTGCTTCGAGTTGCACCACGAAGGCGTACTGAAAGGAAGGAGAAAGTATCTTATATACTCCCCCTTTTATAAGGACGACTGAGGATTAGTGGATCCAGTCGCCAAATTCTGGTCGTGACAAATTATCGACCATCACCTTTTCGTTCGGGTGCCACTTGTAGAGTCTTTTCTGAAGCAGGAAACATGAAAAATGTACATTGCCCTTGCGGGGACTCGAAACCTGAACCTCTCGAATACGTTTCGAGTATGCTTCCAATTATATCACGAAGACACTCAGAAAGAAGGGATAAAATATCTTTTAAATTAACACATTCCCCACATTAAAAATGCTTACACAAGTAAACAGTTAATATTATTTTCTCTTAATTAAAATATAGCTTATTCTTCTTTGCTGCGTTCCTTTTTTAAATGCTGCCTGATTAACCGTAATTTAAAATAATCGTAGATATCATTCCATATATTACTCCGGGTTAATCGGGAATCTAATGTGCTTTCATTTAATTTGTCAGATGTATATATTATTTTTATAGTATTAACACTTAAAAGTAATCTAAAGAATAAAATTACATAAAGATGCTTTTTATTTATTCAGGGAGTCTGAACTTTAATTGTTACTCGGGAAAGACATCAGATATTATCTTTTTAACCATTGATCTAGTGATTGAAAATAAGACGTATTAAGTAAATTAAAAGACCATGCATGAAGGTCTGCAATAATTCTTTCCATAGATAAAAATGAAGCAAAAATACAAATTAAGAAAAGTATTGATATGATTAGACGCTGTCGTTAAATGTCTTTAAATATCAAGCACTCATTTTTAGAGTACTAGAGTGTCAATAATATTTTTATACTTAAATGTTTTCGGAAAAATCTGTTAAAGAAGAGCGGTTCTAAAACGTCGATTGATTACAACATTTTCTGATGATTTTTTTTAGCGCTTTTGGCCAGAACAACCTCAACTAGTACATTTGTACTTGTAGAAAAATATTTCATAAATACACAAAGCTTGAATTCTCTTTCAGGTATTACACGGAAAGAGAGAAATGCTTCAAGGAATATTTTTAAGGGAAACACGGTCGTATCCACATGGGAAAAATCACGAAAATGGCCCATGCAGCCAGCCCATTCTCTTGGAATGACTCCTGAAAGGTTTAATTCCTTTGCAGTTCACGTAATCTGGATAAGAGAACACATCACATACAACAGGCAACAAATGAGCACAGAAATGCTCAGAGATAAATCCATATCTCTCTATATTGTGACTCCTACCTTGATTTTGAAAAACGGAAGGAGTACCACACAACCAAATATTCTCCAAAAGAACACCGAAAGAGAAAATGTTATCCTTATTTACGAAAGAATATTTGTGCGCGTCCATAAAGACTTTCTGTTTCTTAATGGTGGATATCTAAATGATATAAAATGTCCGGACGAAATAATTGATCAACACGTGAGTCAATTTGCGGCTGCCACAATGGTCTGTTTGCTTTAAGACATGGCACTCCAGAGCAGCTACAATCAATCATGGTTCCTATATGTGAAGATAACAGATTTCAGGAAATGAAGAGGATCATAGTTCCTACAACTAAGCCCGACTGAACATGTGTGGGGCCATTTAGGAAGACGGGTAGCTGTAGTAATATTCTCAAGAGCAATGAATGAACTGTAACTGAAATTAAAGCGGTTATGTGGTTTGGTACCGAACCGAAAGGTTTCATAACTTTATTGACAAAATGGGTGAGAGGTATCTAGTCTGTTTTGAAGCCAAGAATGGCTATATTCAGCACAAAGTTTATCTTAAACAAGTATTTACAAAAATCAGATTCTGTTGTTTTCACAAGCAATCTTCCAATTCCCTCGAAAGAATGCTTAACAGATTTTTTTTAAAGAAGTGTGTAATGCCCCAACATTACAAAGTATGATGAATTATTCTACCATCTGTACTTAGGCTAATACAAATCTAATTTTAAATTTTGTGTATATATCTTGCTTACCTTAGCATATAGGCCATAAAATTTGTTCTTTTACAGGGTAAGTTCATTCTGTCTTATATTAATGCTTTTCTGTCATTTATGAAAAACATTTCTAGTAAAAATATTGAAATTAAAATAAATATTTGTTATTGCGTGTTTCTGTTTGATGTTTATGAAGAGTTAGAGAAAATGGTTCAAATGTTAACGCATATATTTTAAATGTGATGTCATTTCACATTTTAGATTTTATTCTTTTTTGAAGCGTTTCTTTCAGTGAAGTAATATAATAAACTTCACATGGGAAAATGCTGATTCCAATTTATGTCAGAAACAAAAAAGTACATTAATATCGTGCTTGATATCAGTAAATTTGGATGATGATGTAAAACATCAATACACTTGTTTTAAAATCCATTCCCCTTTCTGAAGTGATTAATTTATTGATACTCCAAATATATGTTTTATGGGGTATACGGAAAACGCTTGATGAAATAAATATTGTAAGAAATGCTGCTTTACTTGCTGCAGCAATACTAAAGAATTTCGGATTAATATTTATAGTATAGGAAGTCTGAATGTAGTAACATTTAGTGTAATAAAACTTGGTCAAATAGTGCTAATTATAGAAATGAAATTAATACTAGTTTTCCGAAGCAGCATTATAATATATAATGTTTCAAACATGTAGAGAATTTTAATTTGATATGAACAACTGTAGATGAAAGCGAATATGTAATTTTAATTTGCTATTGTTGTGCACTTAATATAGCAAACCACCTTTGTTTTAATTTTAAGTGATACATTTTATTTACCAAGGACTAAGTAATAATGTAAATTGAAAAAAGTATGGAATGCAGAAACAATTCAGTTACTGATTTTAGTCCTCAACTCCATAACTATTAATTACAGAGACAAACCTTTTATAATGGTAGTTGAAAAGTCCAACATATTTTTCTACGAAGTAAATTAATAATTACGACAAAGCTAATTCATGTAATAAGAAATTTAATAATGCACATGGATAAGAAATTAAATTTATATCTTCTACAATTTATAACTGAAAATAACACTCAGGATATTGACATTATTCAATTTTAAAATAATTAGAATGCTAGAGGTAATACTTTTAATTTCTGACGCATAATGAAATGCATAATGCATAATGAAAATGAAGTATTTAAAAATTTTTATTGATTTATTAAATAGGAGAACAAGGCGGAATTTTAACTAATATGTACAAACCTAAGAAGATATATTAGCAGGACAGAAACTGGAAAAAATAGTGACAGAACAAAATGTAACATAAAAACATTTTAATGTTTTACGCTACATTCTCCATTTAACATTCTGAATGCATTTTTCATGACCTTTCACACATTTTGAAATGGGACGATAACTTTGGCACCTTGGAAAATAGCTGCTGGTGGTGGCGGTTGGACAAGATACACTGCATCACCTGTATTTTGATCGGATATTCCAGGTTCATTTGAACGGATAACAGCACGATAACCATTTAAATCTGCAGTATAACGAACGTTCCTATGTACTCCAAGGGGATCTGAATATCCGTACGTTCCTTCGACGAAACCATTCAAATCTGATATCTCGTGGCGATGTTGAGATGTTCCTTTTCCATCCTGAATGTCGTAGCCAAATACATATGGGGTTGGGAAGTCGATAAGAGGGTTCTGTTTCAAAACTTCCTCCCTCTGCAAAGGTTCTGCAATAGGTAGAGTCGATACTTTGGTAATTGCTATGAAATAAGAGAACGATGCGATGAGAAAGACCCAGAAACCCATGGCAGGTGTGCAGAATAGCAAACAGAGAAAGACACCTGTAATAGACAGCCAACCCGAGCCTTTGTGTCAGGTTAAAAGCCACCAAGTATTTATATCTTGTAGAAAATTTTTCTTCTTGTACTTTTTTATTTTAAATTTCATTTTAAAAGTTTCTGATATCTCCTATTAAAAAAAAATTCCTTTATGCTTTGGAATTGCTATTACAAAAGCAGGAAATAACTGGAATGCTAAGCTTTCATATCCACATAAAAGAACAAAAGTGAATACATTTATACATTTAACTTTTAATAATATAATATTATGCAATAACTTAAACATACTGAAGCTTCGGAGATTTCATATCACAATGTAGAATGAAGCAAATAATAAGAAAACGCAGAGATATTTCAAATTTCTCTAGGTCAATGTTAAGAGGATTCAAAGAAAATGTTCATTTCCTTATGCAGGAAACAATTTAAAAGTCAACAGTCGACCAGTTATGTTCAACATTTCACGCACCAAAACATTTTACATTTCGACCTGCGTTGAATGCCCACAGTGATAAGATACGCCCGTGACTCTGTATACCTTTGTCATGATATGAATAGTTATATTCATTTAGGTCAAGCTTGTGCACACTTTTTTTAAGGATTCTTTAAATGAAGATCAGTTAAACAGCATACTTTGCGAGCTCAGAAAACCACATCTTACTATAAAAGATGACCAGTTACTTCAATATCATTTAAATGACATTTTGAACCGCTTACAGAATTCTAGATAAGATAGAATTCTAGTTAATATAGAAAAACATACTCATGTTATTTGCTTTTATTAGCTGTTCTATTCATCTGTGAATCATGTCTAAGGAAATGTTTGGAACTGCGAATGACGTTCACGAGGACACTGAATTTCTTTATCTTTATACTACTTGCGGTAACCTATGCAGAGCCAGTAATTCTTCAGTTTGCACTTAAAATCTAATCAAGGAATCGAAGCCCTGTAAATCCGGATTTGAATTCAGTGGTAGTTTAGGGATGGCCCAATACCGAAGAGAAGTCATGAATAGATTAGAATCCATTATAAGGTAATACGGATAAGGATATTCTGAGCAATGCACAGAAATGGTGAATACAGAGTTCTTGTACGCAAATCATGAGCATCTGGAGATGGACAAGAAAGTACTTTAAACATGACTCCTTATTCAGCCACTTCCATCAGCTGCACTTGCCCAAGGACTCAAATATAAACACACGCCTGATCCTAGCAAGTATTAATATGAAATTCATTTGATAAACATAATCGAAAGAAAGCAATGTGTGCCTACTACGCGAATTAAATTGTTTTTAGGAAAATCTATTACAGCACTCCTTTTCCGCATTTAAGACTTCAAACATTTACTCTCCAAAAAACAAGTAGTGCAATGATATAGAGTTCGGATGAATATAAATTATCTCAGGATGGGATATTAGTGATATTTATAAAACTACTACTACAAATTTTTATTACCACAAAACTATATTATCGCATAGTAAAAATGCTTTCAGGTTTAATATATATTTGCAGCGGATCTTTGCTGAAATACCTCACAAAGAGATCCCTTTCACTGCAAAAAGTCAATAATGTTTCTGGATATAAAACTCTATGTTAGCTTGGTTTCTCAATATAATATTCTCATGATATAGTATATTTCGCAATTTGACTTCGCTTTAATGCGCGTACAAGGTGGATGCCCACAGAAACGTCCTTCAGAAATGACATTCAAAGTAAAAAACAGCGATTTTTTTTGGGCGTCAATTGACAAACATTATGAAATCGTAGTGTATATGCCCCCTTGTGGATTAGCAAAATCGCTGCGAATATATTTGGCTTGAATAGACTATTAGTGCCATAAGCAACATTTAAATGTTTCGTACAATTATTGACTGCTGCTACAGTGATATTTTCAGTTGATTTGGCCGTAAGATTATCAAGATAAATGCGTTCAGAAAGAAAAATAATCAAGACATTCTTAAATCAGATTTTTCAAAAGCGTAAAAAATTCCATGTTCTATCGTAATCTACAAGTTTTACAAAATCAGATGTAGAAAGCCACACAAAACCTTAAAACAAATTTGCTTGAAACGATTTATACTTTTAATATTCATAGCTAGAAGTTTCAACAAAATATTCATTTATGTATTCAAATTAATTAATTAACCTTAATATTTGTATTCTTTGCGTAGCTCTTTTTTTAATTATTAAAAAGATCAAAGTTACAAGGAATTATAAGGACTGGTTGTAGTAGTTTTTTTTAACCAATATAAAGTATCTACAACCAAGCATTTTATTCAGTAAATTAAAGTTTGATGGGACAATATAAAGGGTTTAAAAAACTAGGTAATTTTTATACTTTTTATGCGTCTTTTGAATACGCCATTGCCGTATTACACCACTCGGGGCAAGAAGATAAATCACGCCCCTGCATGCAATACATGGGTATAAATACTCGCGGATAAATTCTGTGGTTTGACATCTCCTTTAATTGTTCTTGCGAGACAAACATGCGAGTGCCCCATTCACCTCATCCTTGTCTCGACCCTGTTACTCGCTCATCAGATTTTACTTTATTTCCTTACTTCCTTTGTTTTATTACTAGTCAAAAACTTTATTACAAAACATGAAAGATAAACTGCTTTTTCTTACATTAGGATTTAAACTACGGATTTTCCCTTCACCAGCTGGATGTGCTAACCGCTTATTCCACAAAGGAAAGTACGGGGAAATACTATGATTGTTTTTTAATCTATTAAATCCAAAATTCATATTGCAATATGTCTGTGGATGAAATATAGACAGAATATAAGCAATAATTAAGACATCATAGTGCGTCTGATGGTAATAAATTAAGCATTCTGAATTTATTTTCCAAAAGTTTGCAAACAGTAGCAACACAGATTCAACCTGTGAATTTTATCACACGATCTTCTTTATCTACAGTTTATTTTTAAGCATAATTGTTTAAGTTTTATAATACTTTAATAAAAGTATATGAAAATCCCGAACTGAATTAATTTTTCTTCATTAAAGGAACATATATGATAAAAATAAAAAATTTTGATCTGATTCGTTGACAGTATAATAAATTAGACATGGAGTATATGATTTGAACTATTAATATAAAATATCCGTATAATTTTCCAAAATATTGAATTTACGGCTGAGAGTATAATTATTGTTTCAGACTTGGTAAATACCATTCTAGAAGTAATCGTTTAAAGGTTTACATAATTAATTTCATTTTTATAATTGCATAACTTTTACTTGAAAAAATTCAAACTAATAATGCAAAAATATTACAGTGAATAATTATAATTGTAAGGATTTCTTTATTTTGATCTAACCAGTTATTTTATGTTAAACATCTTTACTGTCATTCTCCCTTTCGTTTTTCTGCCAGAATGCTATTTTTTAGTTTGCGCGTATTCAAGGTAGAAAGAGGTAGTATAAAAAGGAAGGTTTTTAGTTTTAGTTTGTTTAATCAGAGCGTGTGCCGCCTGTTGAAGGTCACGTTACTAGTTGCAGTTTTACTATAGCAGTCTGTCTTCGTTGCGTTATTCTTGCGAATAGTATAGATTTGAGCCAACTGGCGCTTTAATCAGTTCTGCGTAGGCTTTGGCTATATTATGACATAACTTAGTTTTAATTTGAAGTTCTATCATCTTGAGTTACGCCATAAATGCTGGATGGCCATAATAAGAACAAGAAGTGCCTTCTGTGCAACTAATTAAGTTCTTAATAAAAGGGTCGTTTACACCCTTCTTACCTTCTCTCTTCTTATGGGACAAAGCGATAAGGCGCTTAGAATATAGCTTGAGTCTCGATTTAGTTTAAGCTTCCCAAAGAGTGAGACTCTACATAATATAGAAAGCCGTTGTGATGAAAACCAAATGTACTCGATTTACCGAAAACAATTTTAAATACCTCGCTCTGCCATTTTAAATACCGAATATCAAATTGTATTTTTTCCACAATCATGATAAAAAGTACATCCGTTTTTTTAATTTTCAATCACTCTTTTATTGATAATTATGAAAAATTTATAATTACAAGTATCATTTTAATATACTTAACTGTACGTATCAGATATTCTTACCATAGATGTTGAAAATCCGTAGGATCAATTTGAAGGTCACTGTTTGCAGAGAGATCTAAATAAGTGAGTCCTTTGGGAACAATGGAGGCCAGCTCCAATTGTTGTAGTTTATTGCAGGCCAAGTCCAGGATCTGTAGATTAATGATTAATAAAACATCAAAAACCTTATGAAGCTTTAAATATTAGTACTTCATGGATTTTGGGAATAATTAAAATTTTATTAATAAAAGGGAAAGTTAAAATTGCCTGGATTTTGCATATTAACTCCTTATTTTGAATTTTTCTCCGTTTTGAATTTTCTGAAATGAAGCTTCTTTCCTTACGGTTGCCGATAATTTCGAAACTGATTAGAGGTGCAACATTTTTACAATATTGTTACAACTTACTGTTGTAAATCATATGAAAATAAATATATATAGCAAGAAATTTATACACATATAATTAACACAAATGCATACTTATATAATGCAATACAAATTGCCAAGAAAATGCCATTATAAAAATTTGTACACTTCTACAGTACCAATAACCAGGCTTCCGATACCATGCTGTTATGATACTAGTGCAGTATTATTTTTTTCGTGGATTCGTAATAGATTGAATGCGCACAGAACCGATGATAGCTTTATGAAATTTATTTTTCCCAAATGAAGCATTTTCCTAGCTCTAGAACTTTCCACAAAAATATTCATACAGCTCTTCTCAGAATCGCAGAATATAGTCAATAGTTACACTTCAAACTGCTAAGGACGTTAAACACAGTGCAAAGCAAAACGCATCTAAAAAGGCGAAGCTCCTGCGGAGATCTCTCAATATTTCAAAATCAAGCTAATCTAAACAACTGAGAGCTGATGCTCTCTCCGGTCTTATATAGTTTTCCATCGGCCATCGAGAAACCTCTAGCAACTTCCATTTCTCAAAATAACTGTAAGGCATATACGGTTAAAGTTACATAAGGGCCGGTTGCGGTCACAGTTACACATTGGGATAAATTGCAGTTATTCAATTACAATGTCAGTTAGTTACACAGGAACTGGACTAAACAGTCGCCAAGTTCGGAGACTTTTGGCAATTTCTCTCCAAATTTGGCGACAAAAATTAGTTGCCAGCTTGACGATATGTCCCCAATTTACCGAGATATCCATTTACTTCAATGTTAAATAGACTTGTCTCTGTAATCTTATTTTTCCGCCAGAGCTTTGACTCTTCATATTTTCATGTTACATTATACAAAGAATACTACAGTTTTAAACATAATTTCAGTAAAACTACTTATATATATATATACAAAAACTCGTAACGCTATGTTAAAATGTTACATTGCAGTATATAAATGAACAATTTATACTGATTAATATACAGGTATATAGTATTTACAATAGAAGTAGACGTATATTGCTTGCTAGTGAAAATAAAACTAGAATTATGCCATATTTACACTTGGTAGTGATACTGTAGCAGCTGCGCATACTGTACTGCACTGAACTGATAACCCTCTTTGATACAAAAATATGATGAAGTCTTAAGTTTCTTATCGGGAAGAAGTTATCAAAAAGGCCGCGCAACCATTAAAGACCTTCTAAAAAAATGGAAAGCCACAGCAGCCGCAGTCAGTTAATGTCATCACAATCAATCTTTAGCAAACAGAGAGGCATATATATTCAATGATAATGCCATGTTCCGCTTCAGGATATACTAATGAACAACGAGACTTCAGTTTTTTGAAAGCTGAACCTCCCAAAAATCGTTGACTAAGAGATTGCAAGAAGGATGAAGATAAAATCAAAATGGAAGAAAGCTAAAGTTAAAGATTCAAAGTGGGGAAAAAAAAAAAGAAAAAGAAATGAAGGATAAAGATAACTAAGTTTTCCACTGGAGATGGAAGATTGAAAAAGTTCCCGCTTATTAAATTGAATTGAAAACGTGTGAGACTTTATACATACAGCGTATACTCGTATATAAATATTTCGATAACTAATAAATTATTAAATAACCAGCATTTCCAATATTGATGGTGTTTCTAACAGTACCTAAAATATTTTAAATATTTTTCGCTGGATTTGAGCGGTTTTGAAATGAATTAAAATTTTTGTTACGAGAAAAGCAAAAAACAGAACTCACTTAGAAGTCAGAAACTAGAAGCTACAAGTTTATGAGATAGGATAGGAAACCTGTGAGAAAAGCATTCTCTGTAATAAACGATTTGCATTTCGAACGCCATCTTGTAACTGATCGTTTCGTTAAACGAATTACCATTACATTTTACTCGTCTAAACTACGAACACAGTTTTAATAACTTCGGATGGTATTTCCAAAAAATTCCGTAAAATAAATTAGTAGAAATTATTTTATTTAAAACACCACATGCATTTTTAAATAACAATTATTTTTAATTCAACTCTACTCTTCTTTCTAACTTTCGAATATTCTAGTAATTATCTCAGAACTTTATGCGAAACAGCGCACATAGTGAAAACGTCATTGTCCAGCACGCATAAAAACCTTCTTAATTGGCTTATGTATTTTACATGTAAGAAATGTTGTAGCTTAAAAAATAGTGAAAGAGGGGTAATGTAAAATCAAAACAAATAAAGCAATTATTAAATAATAATAGCAAAAACTTACCTTAAGATTAGGAGAATCGCTGAGTTTTGGAATATTCTCAATAAGATTAGAATGTAAGTACAGTTTCTTTAACTTTGTTGCTTTAGCTATTTGACTAGAAATATTTGTCATTTCATTTCCAGAGCAGGAAAATGTACCCAGAGCAGGTAAGTTTATAACAAAGCTGTGAAGAAAAATACATGCAGTATCAGTATTATAAATAGCTGTAATCAGGGTGTTCCAAAAAATTAATTGAATTCCTTTGCTTAAAGCTCTTCTGGTAAGGGGAAGACCATGAGCTATGTATTAAAGGAACAACAGCATTGACTAGATCTGTGTTTCACGAATAACGGTCATTAGTTCGAACACATTCTATAAATCTCGCAATGATTCCAAACTTTTGGGATAACATGTAGTGCAGTTAAGAAGCAAAAATAAAATATATAAATAACATAAGTATTGATTTGTTTACACTACAGATTTATGTGTTAAGAGAAAACGTTGGAATCATTTGTAAGAAATTTGGACAGCGGACATAATTTGCCATCGCGAAAAGAGACGTCATTTTCCATAACTAAATACTTCAGAGACACATTTTGTATCATGAGTTTCAAAATATAAATTTACTTAACTTTTCATAAACTTTTTTAAATATAAAATCGTGAAGGTACTTTTGCGCCACCTCGTATAGATTATGGTCTTAAGCGTTAATTGTGCAGTAAAAGGTATTATTTGTTTTAAAATCTTTCAACTTTAACGATAGTACAGACAAATTTATACTTCAGTTAATAAATAAAGTAACTCAAAGAAAAAAGATATTGAAGGCTATGTATTAAAGGAACAACAGCATTGACTGGATCTGTGTTTCACGAATAACGGTAATTAGTTCGAACACGTTCGATAAATCTCGCAATGATTCCAGACTTTTGGGATGACATGTACAGTTAAGAAGCAAAAATAAAATCTATAAATAACATAAGTATTGATTTATTTACACGACAGATTTATGTAATAGAAAGAGAAAACATTGGAACAAATTGTAGAAAAATTGGACAGTGGACATAATTTGCCATCGCGAAAGGGGGCATCATTTTCATTTTTCGTAAACAAAAACTTCAAGAGACGCATTTTGTATCATGAGTTTCAAAATATAAATTTACTTAACTTTTCATAAACTTTTTTTAATATAAAACCGTGAAGGTACTTTTAGGCCACCTTTTATAAATTATGATGTTAAGAGTTTATTATGCAGTAAAATATATTATTTGTTTTAAAATCCTTCAAATTTAACGATAGAACAGAAATATTTATACTTAAATTAATAAATAAAGTAATTAAACATAAAGAAACCACGATGTTGACCGTTTTCGGTGAATTAGGCTTAGTGTCCAACTTATTCTGCTCTTCAGAATGGAATTATTTGCTGCAATTTCCGTCACCGAAAGCGAATTTTACATTCGCAAAGGCTTAAATTCATAGATAGCTCTGTTATTTCAAGGAACTTGTAAGATATTACAATACATGGCAATACAATGTATTTCGGGTTTGAAAAAACATGAGAGAGAGAGATAATTATAATCAGACTTACTCATCAGGTAATTCCTTAATGCCATTGTAAGCTAGATGCAACGATTCGATTTCTGACCCGCTTAGGAAGTTGGCAATGTTCGTCAAATCGTTCAAATGATTTCCAGATAGGAGAAGAGTCCTCAAATTACTGCTTGAACAGCATGGTTGAGGAAATGATTGTAAGCAGTTGTAAGACAGATTGAGTTCTTGTAAACTGTAAAATAAAATAAAATATAATTTCTGAGAAAAAGGCACACTGGCACAGTGAAAGGAAGAACATATTGAGTGGCGTATATTGCATCTATCAACTTTAGTACGCAACCATCAAGAAGGCGCGTGTGCATGGGTGGCATACCTTCTATGAAAACTGCAATTAGTATACCATAGACCACTGGCCGATGCACGTGCTGATTGCAGCAGTGAAAGTCTTTATTGGAACAGATTTTGTCATAGATACTCTGGGAGTACTGTGACAGAGAATGGCGAGAGATCGATAGAACTGTGGGAACAATTGGAGAATACAATTTGTGTCCTACAGGACGGTACAAATATGGTTGTACTCCGATGGTTCTTTCGAAGGACATGCTGAAGCTTATGATAGAAGCCTTCTCACGTAGCCTTGAACGGTGCATCCAGCCGGAGGACGGGTATAATTTTCAAGTTTTACTGATATTTGTATTATCCGTATTATATATTGCAGTTAAATACCTATGTGCATACTGTTATTTCCCAAGGTTATCCCTCTCCTAAGCACTATTATCTTTTTGCTGTTATTTGAATTTGGTAGATACAACACGAGCCATTTTTTAATGTATAATCAAGTTAAAAGAGAGACAAATCAACCTTTACAAAAAATATGACCAGTTTAGGAATAATTTCAAATAGAAACGGACAACGAAATGAAAGACGTTATCTAATGTGCACATTTCTCCATCGAAAGCAGATTGCCGGCAGCAATATCCTTATTGTTTCTCCCAATATCTTAAATTTCAAATCAAAGAAAATTTGTATTTGAATTTTATGTGTTTTTAAAATTAAATTATAAATATCACTGAAAGGTTTACTTAATGCAGGGCGACCTATAATTAAGTCCTCTATTTTTTTCGACGTAGTTCTGCGAATAATGAAGTTAGACGAATAATTTCAAGAGGTTTTCTCTGTTCTGTACCACTGTATAACTCTAGCAAGCTATTTGTCTGTCCCAGGTTAAAAATGAGAAATCCAGCTGGCAGCTATATTATCCGTTTGTGACCATGCTCGGATTGCTGCATGCCAGATGCAAATAACGATCCAGAGAAAGTGGAGATAGGAGGATTTGCGACAACCGATGTCAAATGTCTTCGCAATTTCTGCACCATCATTTCTCGATAACTGCATTTCCAACCCATACGAAGTATGAGGCTTATGTTCAATTCAGCTCGTTCCCTACTAACAAAAGATAAATTCAATGTTCGGAGCTTATAACAATATTTCTGTTACAATTGACTGATAGGTAGATATATATTTTACTTTTAATCTTAAAGACTTATTTCAGTCTAAAAGACCTAGCATCATAAATAAATCTTTTCGTATATTCAGTTACTTTTCTAAAACTACTTAAAAAGAATTTCTATCGTAACAGGTACAATAGAATGCAATAAACTAACAAGAGAAAAAATGCTAATAAAATATGATTCTTATAAAAAACCAATGTGAAGAGAAGCTAACACAAATCTTTCATTTTGTGTTTCGGTGTAAAAAATACAGGTCACAAACTTCGTTCTTTTTTACATGGACATGATACAGTGTGAGTTAGGAATATAAATGTCAAGGCTGAGTTGAGAAAAGGCTGAATCAAGACATTATACAAAACCGAGCGTGATTAGAAACGGATCGTCGAGCTGTAATCTTGATTATTCATGACTAGTTCTACTAGAGAAAAACAACTTGTCAGAATTATATGATGGCGCAGAATAGAGCACAGGAAGAAGAAAAATATCGGTCAAATTTCATAACTGACAGAATTACACTGAATAAGAATGAAGACATATTAATGGATCCTTCCCCCCGTAGTATGTATTTATATGTATATGTGTATGTATATATAGTTTCACTAAGGGTTTATAAAGTTTTTGCCCCTATAAAGTTTTATTTCTTCTATGTTTTAAATAAATACATAATAAAGGATTTGTACACTAACTTTGTGTTATGAATAAATTTAAATGCCTCACGCCAAAACTTGGAGATTTAATTTTTTTTCTTTATAACGTTTTTTTAAGGAAACAATTTAAATAAACGCTTATGATAATAATGAACTGTACTCGTTTTATATTTGCAACTTAAGTTTAAGAGATATTTTAAGTTTATTTCTAATTTTTTAAAAAATTATTACTACTTTTATGTGAATAGAAAACTTATACTTATTCATTTTTATTTAAAATATGATACTTAGCCCATTCAATTTGCATTCTTATTGAAAAATTTCAATAGATCAAACTCAAACGTGTAAGACCATCTAAGCGAGCCATTTTGCTTTTCACTTTTAAATTACTCAAGACTTTTTTATGCTGTCTTAAGATGATATTGTCAATTCAGAATAATATAATAATTTTTTCAGACAAGTTTGAAGTGCAGAGCCATTTTTTCTGGTCATTTTTGCAAATAAAATTCATTGGAAGGTTAAATATATGAAGTGGTTGCCATTTTAAGAAAAGTAAATTTTTCTTTCTACATAATAGTAAGTATATATTCATTATGAGAGAAGTAAAGAACGCAGAATTTGTTCTTAAGTTTCAATTTTATTACGAGTATAAGTTAGATATCTGCATTTGAACTCTTTACGGCTAAGGAAATACATTCCCCTTTCTCCCCGAAAAATATTACCAGTTTTAAAGTTCTGGAAAATAAAATTTGCTTTCAAAGAATAAACATTCAATAGTGCATGATAATGATCCAGTAGAGACATACACGATTTCTATCATTTCTAAAATAACATCAAATTCAAATACTTCCATTTATAAAAAATGACGCCAAAGCACAAAGTAGCTACTTTGAAAGTGCACAGTGGTTCTACACGAGATCTCAAACTTTCTGACTTTGAGCTTTACTCTTATTTCAACTAATCTTTCATAACTTGATGGCCAACTTTACTGATATGCATATAAAGTGAACAGACGTCCCGATCTGTGCGAGAAAGTTTCGCATTTCAGCACCGAATTTTGGTACAATTTGGAAAATGTTTGATATTCTGTAAATATTCACGATTTTTTAAATATAGTTAAAATGAGTGTTGATAATGCTGCTCCGTAAGATATAGAAAATGTTCCTGAGGGATCAGAAATATATTCAACAACCATATAATCGCGTTTTCTAGATAAATGCTTCAGGGAATTCGCAAGAAGAATGATTTTTGAAAGAATTTCTAGATATCTGTTCCAGCTTCGTTTCATATTTGGAAAATGCACAACGGGATTAAATTATCTGAATAATTTCAAATGTGTCATGGTTTGAAATATTGTTGAATGTAACTATTTGGAAAGCTTCGTTTTTTATATTATTATTATGTTTTGTAAATTTTATGCATCGGTTTTTACATATTTCATTGTCATACTGTAGAGACATTAGGTATTAGGTATATTTTTAGATGCAGGAAAGATGAAAAATAGCAACCGCCTTCGCCGGGAATCGGACCACGGACCTCTGTAATACCGGCCCAGCGTGCATAACCACTACGAAGGACGCTAGGAAAGCGGGAGACATACCTTATATACTCCCCCTTTTTAAGGGGCGACTAGGGTTTTAGGGTACCTAGTTGCCAAATCCTGGGTGCGGAGAATCATCATTCACAACCTTTTTAGTTCGGGCGCCACTTGTAGAGTCATTAGGATTTTTTTAGAAGCCGGAGAGGTGAAAAATTAGCAAAGCTTTCGTCGGGAATCGAACCGCGGACCTCTGGAATACCGGCCCAGCGTGCTACCGTTACACCACAAAGGCATGCTAGGGAAGTGGGAGAAATACCTTATAATACTCGTATAATATGCACATCGCATATAGATTCTAAACTGTTTTACCCTGAAAATGTGCGTAATTACTGTAATTTGCATAGTATCTGTCTGCAAACTAATATAAAACTCTTTTGGAATTTATAATTAGGCACTATAATTTTTATACTATTTACTGTATTCATCGTGGCACGAAATCTCTTATAATGTGTTATAATCTATGCCATGAAAATCGCCCTTCCCCCCCCCCCCACTATCAAAAATTTTCTTTTACCGTACTGGCAACAGAAAAAATCTAGACGTTTTATCTTCGCATCAAAGTCTACATGGGTAAACATTGTTGTATTATTATACTGTTCCTTAGTAGAAAGAAATAAATGTACATAAATTGAACAGAGTGATATGCTGTGAATTTTAATTTTATAAACTCGTTAGGAGTCCAGGAAAATTTCAAAATATTGAAATTTCATGAAACAAATTGCTATTAAAAAGGCCTATAACATTTTCGTTAACAATGATTTTTTTCCTCATTATCTTTAAAATTTGTTCCATTATGTTGCATTAAAGGATATAGTTTAAAATACATAATTTGGTCATTTTTCTTCTCAATACTTTGCACTTGATAATGAGAAATATTAACCAAATGTATTTTGCTGGGTAAAAATGTTGTTCTACCGTTTACACTTTTAAAATTTGAAGTTTTCTCATTACATAATCATTTATAAAATTTATAAATACTGCAAGGCTAGTTATATTAACCTACATGCGTACTATCAACATAGTGCAGTTTATTAGATATATATTTAAAATAATGTTAAAATAAAAATTATTGAAATGATACAACGAAAAAAAAGTACTTGCTACAAGGAAAACAAAGCAAATAACAAGCTTAACTTACGAGGGAAATATTTTGAAAAAGTTTTCTGGAAGTTTTTCTATTTTGTTGTACTGAAGGCACAAGGACTTGATATGGCACTTGGAAAGGAATTCGGGGATCTCTGTTAAGAGATTATGATTCAGCTTTAAAACTTGAAGATCACAGTTGGTGAATAACCTATATGTGAAGAAACAATAATACTGTTAGTAATATCTGGACTGAAATTAATGATTAAAAATTAAATGATTAAAAATAATATAAAAAACTGGTGAAGGAATGAGTTTCGATAGCATTCTAGAAACACGTTTATACAAAAGAAGCTAAAGGAATAACTATTATTGAGTAATTTACATTACTTCACTTTTCTCGCGTCGGTAATTAATAATTTTATTACAATAATTATTAATATTTATATTTTAAAGCAATCATTTCATTAAGTATTATATAATGAATAAACGCAAGATGACAGGAACAGTTTTCATGCTATCTAGATTAAATGCTGAAGAGATCTAAATTCAACATTGACCATGATTATATTATCTGGATTATGCTAAAATACATGAGGTTTTCTGTTTAAAGGAAGGGATACCTTCGTGGAAGACATTTTAAAGAAACATCTCTCGTATTTGTGTCACGCACGAAAAACTACAAAAACTCTCATGCAGCCAGCCCATTCGCCGCTATTTGAACCCGGGGTGAACTACCAGTGTTCAATGATTTTATCGCTTCGGTACTGGCAAGCCGTTCATCAAGAAAGCGAATAAAATGTGCATATTAATTCATTACATTTAAAATTATCTTTTAACTCGAATGTAGTTTGAAGATCGTTCATTTACTACGGTTGATGGGTCCGAATTGTATGAAATATTTTAGTAGAATACACCATATCCATAAAGTCATTTTTTGGATTTTATTTTTATAATCGTTGATAATTACTGCTACAAAATGTTTTAAATGACTCAAGTATCCATATTTTGGCATTTTTAAATTTAAAAATTCAATTTTGATAAAACTACAATATCTAACTTTTTATACGGTGTACTGGTTATGATCCGGAGGTGCATGGCAGCTAATGCTGTAAGCAAAAGTTACATTTGTGAACTCATACGAACTGCCAAAAATACATCAATGTTCTTCAAGTGACTCAAGAACCATTTTTATTTAAATTAGTCGGTGATACAAACATGGACTATATCAAATTTCAGCAAGACCATGCCACAAATCGGCGACTTCAGTGCAATAGATTCTTCGTAACAATAGCGATGTTTTAAACTGGCCACTACAGCTCCCAGATCTTAACCCGAAAAGACATTTGAGGAGCTTTTAGACCGAAAGCTATGAAAATACTCAATAATATTGAAAGTTATCTTAAGAATCCCTTTGAGCACGTTTGGGCTGACGTAAATGTGAAAGAGCGTCGTAAGCGAGCTGTTAGTATGCCGAGTAAACTTGCTGATGTAATTAACGCTAAAGATGGAAATATCAGATATAAATATTATGAATAAATATTGTTCATATTCAAACATCAAATGCTTAATGTGTATTTATTTTAGAATTATTCAAAAACAAGTAAAGTATTATAGAATGCTTACTTCTTTTGGCCAATGCTGTAGTTTGAATTCAACATCTAATCAGCCTTATTTCCCTAAAAATAATTTATTATTAGCCCAAAAGGGCGTTTGCCCGATTCGGCTATTAGTTTCGAAACGGTTTTTGCGTCGTTCTCTATAAACGGTTGTATCACTTTTCATATTGTTGCCACCAAATATTATCGACCTGAATTATTTTTAAAGAAATTAAATAATGAAGAATCTGCGTGTCTGTTTGCATGCTCCTCTTATTGTGAAAATGTGACGGTAACTAAGGCCATCGAATTTTGAATATCGTAGTCTTGCACACGGAAGCCTGAAAATTTGCACCTGGAAGCCCGAATGTCGAGTTTCGAATTTAATATTTCATACTTTGTAAAACTTAAATGACTTTTTAATTACAAACTCAACGAAGTTGAAGGCGTGCAGTGGCAACACTACATACAATAAAATTTTTTTATCACCAACACGCAAGATTGTATATGGAAATTCTAATGAATGGAAATTCTTCAGCTTTTAAGTACTTTGTGATTTTGCTGTTGAACTGATCATATAAAACGTTAATAATGAAAGGACAATAAAACATTTTGCAAGCCAGCTTACTAAGAAATCTGAACATTGATATGATAAACTGAGATAGGACTGAAAAAAAAAGTAGAAAAATTTATTCTAACATTTAACACTGTATCGGTAATTCTAAACATATGTTGCTATGCTACTTTTAAAATTTTCAGTCCAAAGGGGCAATTTGCCTAGAAGAACTAATGATTTCGTTTTGGCATTTTGCGTTGATTCAATATAAACTTTGATTCACTTTTCATATCGTTACAACCAAATATTCGAGCCCTGTATTATATTAAAATAAATTAAATAATGAAAAATCTGCATAAATGTATGTATCTTTCTCGCATTGTGATCAAACAACGATAGAGCCATCTAATTTCGAATAACATACGTTTCCACCCGAATATGGACATCTGGAAGCCCGAATTTGGAATTTGTTTTATCTATTTCATATTTTGTAAAACTTAACGAATTTCTGATTAACAAACTCGACGATTTCAAAGCGAGCAATGGCAACACTACACAAGAAAAAAAATAATAACATTTTTATCTGCAGCGCGAGAAACTATGTATCGGAAATCCTAAAGATATGCTCATTTAAAAATTATTTTGGGATGTTGCTGTTGAACTGAATTTTATCATTTAAGTGCGAAGAACATCATATTTAATAAATTAAGGTAACACAGATAAGGTTAAAAAAACGCCCTTTTGGGCGTAATGTAAAATCTAAAAGCTTTCAGATTTTTTTTTTCTTTTGTAAGTGCGAACACATATACATGGTGTAAGTGCGAAGAAAATGATGCTTAACAATAAAGCTAAAAAGACGAAAGAAATTAAGTTAGCAGGAGTAAGTTGCAAAAGCAGACTGAGAGACTGCGAGTTACAAGTCTTCAGTTTCGAGCTCAGCAAGAGGGTAAAAAACGTTAACCTTAACGAAGCCTTTTGTCCGCACAAAACTTCCTCTCTCTTTTAACTCTCTCCCTCTCTCTCTCTCTCCTCTTTTTTTTTTATTCTGGTATTTTTCAGCTAGAATAAAATTTACATGAAGTAAATCTGAGCATCAGTTTATTTCCGTAATATCTATAAAATTTCTCTCAGAATGGATACACATTTACGACGCTTTCCTACGAACACCAGGCTTCGCAAAGATATTCATCTTTTTCAATAATTCTGGCAACATGTGAGGGTCAGGAACCCTTGCCAATCATTCTTGCGCTTCGTACTCATCTCTTGATGACTATTCACACTAAAGCGTGAAAACTGACTGTGCTTTTATTTTTCGCGAATAAGCGAGTGGAACAACACGTGCCAGTGCATATCCACCTGCTTGTTCTACGAGCTGTTTCTAACTTACGCCTCACAGCGGCTGTTCGCGCATGGGAAGATAATGAAATGGATTTAATTGCATTTCCGATTTATTTAAGGCAGATTGTTTTCAACGAAAAAAAAACAAAAAAATAATTATCTGGTTGCCGAAACAGAGTATCGATTTAGTGCATTTGGACTAATAATACTGAAAATGAATGGTAGTTTAAGTCAAGACAATTTCAATTACAGCCCATCGAAACCAGGTTCCGGTGTTTCTTATTTTTTTAAATTCTTGCTATTAACTCACACTCTTCCTATATCTTATTCAAATTTTCAATCGTTAATGGAATACTTTTTATTTATAAACTCAAGTTCAAATACATTTTTTAAACTTGTAGTGGATGGCACTTGATGTTAATACATTTTATTCACATATTAAAAATTAATTTTTTTTTTTTTAAAATTTTTTATTTGTATTTTTAATTTCTTTTTTGTGTTTTTAAAATTTTTCTTTGTTGACTTGAGTAGGAATTGACTTTTAATTTTTTTATTTAATTAATTATTAATTAATTAAATTTCAGTCGTAAATAAAATACCTTTTATTCATCCACTCAAGTTCAAATACATTTTTTTAAACTTGTAGTGGATGACACTTGATGTTAATACGATGTTTTACATATTAAAAATTTTTTTAATTTTAAATTTCTCTACAAAATTTGTAAAATTTTTAATATGTAAAAAATTATAGTAACATCAAGTGTATCCAGTATTAAAAATTTTTTAATTTAAATTTTTTATTTAATTTAAAAAATTTTTCTTTGTTGACCCAAGTAAGAATTGACTTTAATTTTTTTTTTTTTTTTTTATATTACTTGTTTAGGTGCAGCCTACTGGAGTCTTAAGTAAGATGAACTAAAATATCTTATTTGATAATCAACTCGTTGTATAAGTAGAAAATACTGTTATTAATGCAACGTTTTATTTTAGCAGTTTGGAAAACTGACATTATACTTTAGATACTTTAGAAATACGCTCCAGTAATATTATGAACCATGTTAATTTATTTAGGCTATTCTATGTGTAGTCTTAGATTACGTTATCAATGTGTGAATTTAATTGTCTGTTATGTTAATTAAAATATCGGCAAGTAGAGGACGTTTCGCCAGTTCTGCTTAACTTTAGATTAAATAAGCCTATTCTGTTCAACTTTAAAGTAAATGAGAAAGTTATTTTAACCTTTAGTGCTTTGTGACTTGTTTAAGAAGTAGTGATTACCACCCTGCTATTAGTCTAATAGGATGGGTAGGACTTTAGCTTCCAGTTACAAAGAAACACTAAAATCAAAATAATTCGTTTGGAGAAAAAGAGAGAAATATGGCATTACTTAACTTTTTTAAAATTTCTCTACAAATAATTTTTAAGTTTTTAAAAGTGTAGTTAGACTGTTTTTAGGATACGCTTATTCCAGTTATCGAATCCCACGAAGTTTGAGAAAAATTAAATATTCTAAAACTCGAATTTTTGTTTTATTTTGCGAGCGGGGATCTTCAAATCGTTTGAATGATCGTTTTGCAGATTTCTTTGCTCCTGATGCAGAGGGACTTTGTTTGCCCTTGAAATCGATAGCGCTTCTAAGCTAAAAATCTAAGTCTAATACAGGTTGTCGCTTCACTTTTACGTTTGAATGATAACCTAAAAATCGTTAAATCCTTTAAT